CATCACACCCAAGCACTAAGGCTTGGGGGCGAACCATTGGGCCACAAGGCCCGGTTCCACCAAAGTAATGGTTGATAGAAAGTTAACAAAATAAATCATCCATTATAGAAGTGTTGTTTTACCACCATATAGGGGTGGGCAAAAATTGGTTTTGAAATAACCAAAAAAAAAATTTTCTTTAATTTTGAGAACTGAAATTGAATTGAAATTTTCATAAATTGATCAGTTCGGTTACCAATAAAATCAGTTTGATTTTGGTTTTCACTAAATAAATATTAATCAATTATTTTTCTAATAATAGATTATATTTTATCATATTTTGTCATATTTATCTTAATTTTGGTTTTCAGGAGGCTTATTTTTTGTTTTCGATTTTTGAAAGGTTCAATCAAAACCAAACCAAAACTTATTCGATTAATATCAAAACCAAAACAATAAAAACCAAAAACCGTTGAAATCGAACCAAATTCATTTTTTCAGTTTGATTTCCAAGTAACCATCGGTTAGGTTTCCAAATGCTCAACCCTACCACCGTAAATGACTTGGGGGTTAGTTTAAGTGTGAATTCAATTGAAGGGGTAATTTGCCATCCCACAAGAATTTAAGGGTTAATTCGCATGTCTTGTCAAACCCAAATGTTAAGCTATGCTATATGCTAAGGACTTTCCCTATTTTCTCACAAGCCTTCAAAAAAACATTGGCATGTTAGCTCTCAATAGCCTGAATTTAAGTAAATTTGCTCTTTTATAACTCTAAAATCATGTGTGGTGACATAATTTAAATAATCATTTGTATAATCATTTGTGTTTTCATTTGCATAGCAATTTCTTTATATTTAGATGTTAATATAGTAATTTATTTACATTTAAATGTTTACAACATATAATTTAAAATTCTCAAAATTAAGAGTCTAATTTTGACACTTAAGCCCTCAAAGTAAAAAAAGTGGCATGCAAACTTCTGAACTCCTGAATTTGAGCAAACTTGTCATTATGTTAATTACATAATCACATATAATAATACAAATTAAATAATAATTTTTTTCACTTATGATTAAAAAAATTAATTGAGGGACTAAAAAAACTCTATACAAAAGTTGAAAGATCAAAAATAAGATTTTAATAAACCCTTTATTAGATGCAACAATGGAAAGGAAACCTACCAGGGCCTAAAATATTAAAATAATGATAATAATAAGTAAAGATCCATTAAGTCAAACTTCTAAAAATATAAAAAGTATGATATACGAATGGAAATTTTATTGAATTGATATTTAATAATTTAAATTTTTTAATTTAAAATTAAAATTAAAAATTAAAAGTTTTATATTATCAAATAATAATGGTTAAATTTTAAATTTGGTTCTTGAACTATTGTATGAATCTTTGATTTGGTCCTTAAACTAAAAAAATCCTTAATTTGGTCCTTAAACTATTGTACGGACTCCCGATTTGGTCCTTATTGTTTAGCAATTTACCCCAAATTAATCCTTTTGTACAAAAAAAAGCTGATGTATCAGTATTTAACGGTGAAAAACAGTAACTTAATGGTAGAAAATAGTAACTTAACTGCCATGTATCATGTTAATAAAGAGACACATCAGTTATTTTATATAGAAAGACCAACTTAGGGTAAATTGGTAAATAGTAGGGATTAAATCGGGGATCCGTACAATAGTTTAAGGACTACATTAGGGATTTTTTTAGTTTAGAGACCAAATTTGGGGTCTGTACAATAGTTTAGGGACCAAATTAGCGATATAACCAATAATTAATTAGTAAAAAAATTAAAAATAAAAAGTACAGTACATGCGGCGTTGGGCCTCCGACCTAATTTCGAATCAGTCATAATCATGTCTTAAAAGGTTGCCTCTCCCTCTTCCAGTTCCAGGTTCCAACTTTATTAACCTACCGATTCCCATTTCTAACTCTGCCAAGGACTTGCCCGACTGGCAGAACAGATTTCTTGATTTGCAGCCTACACCTACAGGTGACACCCGTTAATTGAGTTTCTATTGCAGGCATGTCAATCTCTTGTTTTAGTTTTCTCTTTAGCATGTTTGTGTTTTGAAATTTTACATGCCCCTGTTTCAAGTAGGAATTTCAAAATTCATCCTCAAGTCTTAAAATTTCTTTCGATTTACTTATAAGAACATCAATGTTATATTTTTTTTTCTTAATCTTTTGGAGAACTTAAAACTACTCATAACGGATTACAAGTTGGGTCTCTCTCTTTTTCTTCTTCATTTTTCTTTTTACAGAACATATGCATTTACATGGAGTAGACAAGTGCAGAAGGAAAATATAATGCAAGAACAATGGCGTGATAAATTAAGAGCAAAGTATAAACCTTGATCTGTAGGTTGTGTGCCATGGCGTAGCTTTTCTGACGGAAAGGAAGATGGCGGTGATGACGGCGGCCTCTGTTCGCAGGTGATTCAGTAACCACTTACAGCTGGGTTGCCTCTGAAGATTGTAAAAGTTACACCCAAATTCAGACAAATTGAAAAGTGATGCATTGTTAGATTTTGCTACTTCCTGAGGAGGTCCGAGAGAGGCGGAGAGTCTTAAAGAGCGGAGGGTTCGTTGATTGTGTTTTGGGGCGTTGCGTGACTTGTCTCTAATGGGACGAGGTTGTAGTTGGGAGATGAGGTGGGAGATAAGTAGGGAGGGCAATTTGTCTCTATCCTCCAAGTCTTGTGTGGGGATCTCTGCCACGAGATGAGGTAAAAAAGAATATTTCCCTTTGCAAGAATTTTTCTCACCTTACCAGACCTCGTGGGATCTTATTTTTGTAAAAAATTTAAAAAATATGTAAATTAATTTT